TAGCTTTGTGCGAACTTCATAACAAACAAACCGTCCGGGGGGAACAGCTACTCCAGCTAGTTTTTCAGTATTTAAGTGTTTTCAAGTATACTTTTGCATCAACAAATTTCAAACCCATTTCCGTGACATTAGTTTTATAGCAAAGAGTTTTGTTTCTTTACCGCAGAGCTTGTTTGTTTGTTTTGTTTTTAAATTTCGCCCAAAGCTACACGAGGGCTATCTGCGCTAGCCGTCCCTAATTTAGCAGTGTAAGACTAGAGAGAAGGCAGCTAGTCATCACCACACACCGCCAACTCTTGGGCTACTCTTTTACCAAAGAATAGTGGGATTGACTGTAACATTGTAATGCCCCCACGGCTGAAAGGGCAAGCGTGTTTGGTGTGACGGGGATTCGAACCCGCGACCCCCAGATTGCGAGTCGAGTGCCTTAACCACCTGGCCATGCCGGGCCACCGCAGAGCTACGCAATGAGATATTTGCACCGTCCCCTCAGTGAGTATCAAATCCGGATTTTTAGCGTTATAAGCCTTCAACGGGGAGATTAAGAGTAAAGAGAAATAATGCATTTTTACGTTTACTTCAAGGCCCGTATGAAAACAATCGAACTTACTTAACACAGTGGGACTGACTTTAATTTGATCCATCACATCCTTGAAAAAAAAAAAAACGAAAAAATTATAGTGTTCGTTGGGATAATATGTCGTTATTCGACTGCCTAGATAAATCGGGTAAGTGTTGTCGAGATACGTCGTACATGTGACGTTGTTAAGAATAACACGGAAACCTGCGACATTCACTTTCTGAAAATACTGGTGTCACAAGAAACTAAGTAGGCCTCGTGAACTCGTTTTTTGTTTGTTTTTTAAGGTATTGGCTAGTGTTTTTCATCTATCGGAAAAATGACCTGTAGGCACGTGATTCGTTGAGAAACAGCTGTTTATAAGGTTCGATGCCCGTTGTATTTAACTAAACCGCTCTTTGTAACAGTAAGCTGCCGTTATCAAGATAAATCCTCCATTGAGTTAATTATTCTTGTGAAATCAGTTTTTAAATATTCAATACTTTTTTTCATTTCTTGAATAAACTGATGACATATATATATCAAAAGGGCGACTACTTTGCACTTTTACATAATATGTTGATTTAGGCCTAACTTAAATGTTTTAAAGTCTCGTGAGATATTATTGGGATTAGAAAAACAACAACAACAACAACAAC